CACTCTACATACAAAGGATCACAAAGTTTGACCCTCCCTTATGCTACTAATGTCTTCCTTTTCGGTGTTTGATTCCAAAGGGGGAGAATTTATAGGACCAAAAGCAAGCCCGATCATAATAATTTACAAGCGGTAATGGTTCAAGAAAGGAGGATAGTGGATTATGGAGTTAGGGGGAGGCTTAAATACATAATGCCACATGGGGACATTTGTAAGGGCAAGATAAGTTTCTAAAGATGTTTACATGTGGTATCTTTAGCATCATATAACCTTGCCCTTTGCATTGCATTCTAGCAAGTAAATAGTTTTTAAATTCCCGAATTTTTATTATTTGCTTGTTTTGGTCGTGTTGTCATCAATCATCAAAAAGGAGAGATTGTAAGAAAAATGGACCCTAGGCCCATTTACTTTGGATTTTGATGTTTGATGACCAACACAATCAAATTGGACTAATGAATTTGCAAGTAATTGTTTTGTAGTTCAATAGGATGTAAGACGTGACTTGGACGAAGGCAACATGATGATCTCATGATCAACATCTTAAGCAAGACCCTAGAAGCACAAGAGAGGATCCAATATATCAAGCAAATTCCAAGCACGAAGATTGGAACCAAGCCGGACGCAAGATCGCGAAGAAACGAGCCCGGTAGAGGTGACCGGACGCGTCCGATCAGGTGCCAGGCAACAGCAGGCGTCGGCGGCTGTGACCGGATGCTGTGCGAAGTAGTGACCGGACTCACCGGTGACACTGTTGAAAGCTCTAGTTTGGTTTTGATGAATTGATGAAACCCTAAGTGATAACCTAGTTTATCAAGTGATCATGATATAGGTAGCACACTCCAAGTGGTGAAGCAAATGAAGATCATAATATAATAATGGTGATGCCATGGTGATGATCAAGTGCTCAGACTTGGAAAGAAGAAAGAGAAAAACAAAAGGCTCATGGCAAAGATATAAATTGTAGGAGCCATTTTGTTTTGGTGATCAAGACACTTAGTGAGTGTAATCACATTTAGGATCGATAATCGTACTATTAAGAGGGATAAAACTCATATCGAAATACGGTTATCAAAGTGCCACTAGATGCTCTAACTCATTGCATATGCATTTAGGATCTAGTGGAGTGCTAACACCCTTGAAAATGTTTATGAAAATATGCTAACATATGTGCACAAGGTGATACACTTGGTGGTTGGCACATTTGATCAAGGATGGTGATGTTTTGGTGCAAGGGTAAGAAACTCCACCGGCGGAGTGTCCACCCGTAGAGTGTGGACAGTCCGACGGTGCCACCAGCGCCCTAGACAGAAAAGACGGAGGTCACTGGAGAGTGACCGGACACTGGCCTCGGTTGGACCGGCGCGTCCGGTCAGGTGTAACAACGAAGACGCTGGCGTCGGTCAAACGACCAGACGCTGGGTCACCCTGACCGGACGCTAGTAGGGTGCATCCGGTCAGTGCTGACGTACGCTGACATGAGGCGCACAGAGAAGACGTTGAAGGACCGGACGCTGGGTGAGTCCGGTCCGGTCATGAAAATTCATGTTTGGAACCTTACTAGAAACGACCGGACGCTGGTGGCTCAAAGTCCGGTCAGTTTATGCGCACTGTCCGGTCAGGAGATGACCGTTGAAATCTGATGAACAATATTTGAAGCAGGGGACACGTGGCGTGCATCACGTGACCGGACGCTGAGGGCCAGCGTCCGGTCGATCGGACCGGAGCGTCCGGCCACCCCGCGCTGTGCCCAGTGAAGGGGTACAATGGCTCTATTTCGTGGGGGCTTCTATTTAAGCCCCATGGTCGGCTCAAGCTCACACTCTTGGCCATTTGCATTGATATAGCAACCTTGTGAGCTTAGCCAAAGCCCTCCCACTCATCTCCATCATTGATTCATCATGTTTGTGAGATTGGGAGAGAATCCAAGCGCATTGCTTGAGTGTTTGCATCTAGAGGCACTTGGTGTTCGTGTTCTCGCTGCGGGATTTGCTTGTTACTCTTGGTGGTTGCCGCCACCTAGACGGCTTGGAGCAGCAAGGATCGTCGAGCGGAGGGTGGTGATTGTCTCCGGCTCCGATCGTGGTGATTGTGAGGGGTTCTTGACCTTTCCCGGTGGAGCGCCCAAAGGTACTCTAGTTGATTGCTCGTGGCTTGTGTGATCCTGATCTTGTGTTGGTTGTGCGGCACCCTATTGAGGATTTGGCGTGTGAAGCCAATTAGCGCGTAAACCTCCAAGTGAGTGTATCGCCACAACGAGGAGTAGCTTGCCGGCAAGCAAGTGAACCTCGGTAAAAATCATTGTGTTCATCATTTGATTCCGAGGTGATTGGTCCACATTGTTATTCACATTTGTGATTGATTGGTTCATACATCTACACGGCGGTATAACCTTCTTACCTACTCTTTACATTACCGCAAACTAGTTGTCAAGCTCTTTAGTGTAACTAGTTGTGAGAGCTTATTAGTTTGATTAGTGTGGCTCTTTAGTTAGCATTTGAGAGCACACTAACTTAGTATAGTAATATAGCTATTGTGTGGATATATTCCATCTAAACTAGAATTGTGGTAGGTGGCTTGCATTTTGGTAGGCTAGTGCAAAACTCGCTTCGCCTCATAATTGTCTAATCCTTTTGTTAAGTGTTGTTGTAAAAATTTTATTAGGCTATTCACCCCCTCTCTAGCCATTAGGACCTTTCAACTGTTCATCGTCACGGTAGTGTTTTCCGCGTGACCGGACGCAATAGACTAGACGATCGGACGCACGAAGTGCAACGTCCGATCGAGTCTAGAGAGGTTCCAGAGCGGCGCCAGCGCGACCGGACTCTGAGCCGAGTCCGTTCAACGCGCGCGCTCCAACGGTCGGGATGACCGGACGCGTCCGGTCAGGACGTGATCAGCGTCCGATCAGTAACAGAAAGCTGGGTTTCGTTCCCAATAGTTACTTTCTCAGTAGGGCTTATAAATAAACCCCCAACCGGCCATTTGAGCAGAGTGGAGCTGAGGAAACATACCAAGGTTGTTAATACACCATTTTAGTGATCTCCACTTGCATAGTGGTTAGTGATTCATTAGGTGATTAGCGTATGTGCTTTTGCGAAGTGCTTAGGTTGATTAGACCACCACTTATGTGCTTGCTCTAGGTTTAGACCTAGTGTTTAGTGAGGTTTGCATACCTCTTACCACTCGATGCTTGCACGCACCATTATTGTATATTGGAGGAGCTTGTAGTCTTGCGAGATCACACCAACCGTGTTTGTGGTGTGGCCGCCACCGTGTACCAAAGGGAACAAGGCCCGCGACGGTTCGGCCGGAAGCTTGATAGTGAAGACGACGGGGAATGGTCTGGGAGAGGCTTGCCGAAAGGCACACCGGAGACCCACTTGCACGTGGGGAAGGCCTGGGGCTATCCACGGAGTTACCCGACCAGGAGCTTGGCCCTTGCGAGAGATTCCTTGCGAGGGGCTCTAACGAGGACTAGGGGAAGCTTGCGCGCTTCTTGATACCTCGGTAAAAATACCGGAGTCGTCGACGAGAGTTTGCATATCTCTACCTTACTCTTTAGCTTCCGTATTTACATTGTTTGCATAACTCCTTTTGCGGTAGAGATAGCAACACACTAGTAAAACCGTAGTTGCACATTTAGATAGTTTATCTTTTGTATAGGTTTTGCTAAGAATAGAAAAAGAGGCTATAATTTAGAGTTAGAGTTTTAAGTTGCCTAATTCACCCCCCTCTTAGGCGTCACGGTCCCTTTCAAAGACATTTTGATACATGATCGTAGCTACACCCTCCGTTCTAAAATAAATGTCGTTCTCGTTTCCTGATAAGTCAAACGCTTTTAACTTTGATCAAATATATACAAGAAAATGTATTAGTATTTATAGTACATAACTACTATCATTAGATAGATCATTGATTTTATTTTTATAAAAATCTTATTTGAAGATACAAATATTACTAATATTTTCTATAAACCTAGTTAAAATAAAAAAAATTTGACCGGAACGAATACCATAGCGACATGGAAGGAGTATATTATAACAATGCACGGAGACAAATTCTGGGCATCTATCTCAGAGTTAATTTTCGCATTCCAATAGAGACGGCCAACTCTAAGAGCAAGGTTAATAATACAGCCGACTGCTGGCTGTATGAATCATTACCGCCTACCTCTCGGCTCATCCATATAGTAGTTACATTTTCACTATTAATATATTGTCTACTTGTCTCTCTCACATAGAGTTTCTTAGTTTTTGTGTATAAGCCGGCTTTAAGGTTACAACTGTTTCTCCTCTCTCTCCTTCCCTCTCTCCTCTACCCTAACATTCAGCATGTTTGCAGCTCCTTATTATACTTGCTCTAAAATTTCATGCAAGCCATGGTCTCAACATGGAGGCATTAGATAACACAATATGTTTGGCGAGATTTTCTTTGATTCTCATGGTTGGGACGGTTGCAAATCCAATTTAAGCGGTCCACACATGCCCAAAGAGATAGAGGGTGGAAACATGCGTGCATGCCCGTTGGTTTGTTTAGATATTTATTTATGATCATATATGTCATATGCTGTTTGTAATTTTAGCACAAATCATTGTTATTGTAAATGTGATTTGTTTATAGTGTTCCTCACTTCCTCTTCGTACGGCAGATAAATGTATATAGATAAACGCTTTGTTGCCCAACTTCAAAATTACCCACAAGGTAATCTCACATTATTACAGCATAACAAGCGTCAGCGACAGAATCACAGGGTTGGCCGGTTGGGCAACAAAGCACGCGTTCCAGTGTTCAATAGCCCGGAACAAACAAACGTTGTTCCCTAGTCCCTTGTCAGTTGTCAGTTTGTCACTACAGGCGCTTAAGCAGCCCAACAGAAACAGTCACCCATTTGGATTCGTGGCCAATACTCAGTAGCCATGTACATGTACACTCTTTTGATAGTAACATGTTACAGTATGTGCCTTCAACACTGGGCTCAACAAGCATCACAGTCCTAATTCCTAACAGGTACCGGAACCCCACATACCAAATTTGCAATTTCCAGATGTGCTAAATGGCAGAGTAACAATCATGCCACCTGCTACCATAGATGACAACTGTTTGCTGAGATGAGACAGCAAAGTGAAACTGCAAACTGGAAAACCACAAGCAATTAGAGCTTCATCTTTAATGAAAGATGGTCAATTCCTATCTGTGTCAAGCCATCTTCAGAATCACTTTAGCACCAATAGCTATACGAGTTAAGTTACAGTATGGTAGGCACCTATGAACATGGAGTGATTCAGAGAAGATCTTTCGCTAGTTTTGGTGGTACATCTAAAGAATGCAGGTCGTTGGATGGAGCTGGCAGCAGGTGTTTGGCCTCATCCTCATCATTGTCGCTTTCCCCAATGATTGGTGAATGTATTGAATACAAATCATCGTCTGAGTAACATTTTAAGAGAAATAGACAGATGGTTAACAAGATTGTAAATTGTGGAAGATAATATCTGTGAATTCCTCTATATTTGTTTGGCATTTGCATAAAAAGCAACATTATACAGGAGTTACCTAGTAATATTGATTTCTGAAATCTATTGAATTTTTTCTTAACATTTTGAGATTTATATCACCAATAATTGTGCATGAAATGAGACATGCAACATGTCCAATGCTCTGATTAGCACATAAGAAAGTAAAACTTCATTTAATCTCCATGGAATGGGTGCAGATACATACAGCTAAATTAACAAAATTAAGAAAGCCCACTGTTCACAGAGAAGGTAAAATATCGCAATACTGAGCAAGACTACAAAGAAATAATTGTTCCATGTCAATGACACATTTTCGTGAAAGTAGCATAACACAGCATTGAAAGTTTGAAACTATAAACTAAGTTGAATCATGCACAACAGGCTATTGTTCTTAGGTTGATACAATACAATTTGAACATTTAATTGAAATCATAGAAACAGAAGGAAGCGAGCAATTGAGAATTCAGGTAGATACTGACCAGATATTTGACGACGAGTTGGGACACGACCTACAGGAGAAACTTGAACGCTTTCTGGTAGAAGACAATCAAAAACTGAGCCTAAATTTTGGAGAAAAGATACAGTCAGCTGCCTATAGTTTCAAGTGTAAAGGAAAGAGGAAACAAACAAATCGGCAGTGACGCTGATACCAACCTACTCTTGCAAGCCTATTCACCCAGGAAGGGATGGGCTTCCCAGTCAAGTTCTGGCAGACATCATCTGTGAAGTGATTGCAGTTCTTATTAATCAAATGGTATGTGTTGCCATGATAATCCCCTGCGAGTTTTTCAATAAACGAGCGGAATTCTTCCTGAGACATGTCTGTTGTGCCTAGCCACACCGTTCTTCTGTAGATAAAGCCAGGGCAACTCTTTGAGTCCACCTCAAACACACCACTGGATGGGTAGTCGTGGGCTCCAAATCCATATTCCGTGCCATGGACTGTTCATTTTGAAGAGGAGGAAAAAAAATGTAAACCTTCTGTATATTAGTCATTAGATCTGAAATAGACATCATGACATCTAGATCTAGGAAAAATGCAGACATAGATGAAAAAATTTAAAAAGCAGTGTTGATTCAGGGATTCGCCAGGTTGTAGCAATCCATCCATGTAATCAAGGAAGGTTGAAGAGATGCTACGTTGGTGAATCCACACTTTCGATACTTAAAAATCTCGCAGAGCAGAAGTGATCATTTTTTTGCAGCCAGGCAGGCGTGACACACGATTCTCCTTGAAATTCTTGCTAAGACAGAACGGTATTATTTCTATAATCTTTGTTTCCCTGCCCCTTTTTCCCATTGATCAGCCATCTCAATACATGTTGTTCCGAAGAATATATTATCCTACTAATTTGACCATAAAGCAGCAACAATAAAGAAAATATAAAACCAGCATCATCCATCATCATGCTAATAATCCATCATTCTACCGCAGCAGAACGGATACAGAAAAAGAGAAGGGAAGAGGATAGATCGCCATGGGAACCTTCGATTCCGGAGTGGAAGACGCCGAAGCCGAGCCAGTAGAGGTAATCGTTCGCGGCCGTGAGGTCGTACACGTTGAGCAGCACCGGCGTGGCGGCAGCGCTGTTCCGAGCGCCCATCTCCTCCCCTCCCCTCCCCTCCCGCCCGACGAATGAAGCCCACGAGCCTCCCTAGAGATCTCACGGCCCGCCCACCATGAATGGGCGGGGGTGGCTAGGGCTTGGCCGGAGCGCGGATTCGTGCGGGAGGACGCGGCGTGGAGACGGAGAGATCCCCTCCCTCTCTGCCTTTTCGATCCGATCTGGTTAATTAAGGAATGATGATCACTGTTTTCCCACCGCATGTGTCGCTATCTTCACGCTATCGTTTTCTTTTTGAATGATGAGCTGTTCACGCTGTTGCTTAACGTTGGTGAGACTGGTGGTCACTTTTCCGTTTCCCGGCGTTGGGGTGGACGGTGGAGCGGACGGCGTCTCGGCGCGGGGCGTGGGCGGTGGCCGCGTGGACTGCCGTGATGCCGGACTACCGGAAGAGATGTCGCGGAGACGCGCGGCACAAATCCAGTGCGCGCGCGCAGGTCCGCAGCCCGGACCCGGACCCGGCACCCGGCAGCGTGACCGGTTTGCGCGAATCAAACACCGTCTTCTTCGCCGGTCAGGCGAGAGGCCTGAGGTATTGTAATTATGTACTGGTTTTTCAGATCAGATCCTAGCATATATCATAGTTATTATTATTGATCGCATGGCAACGGAGGGAGTAGGACTGAATTATCATAATAGAATGTGCCATTGCACGATACAATACTTCAATACTCTTTCTATTCCAAAATTATAAGATGTTTTGTTATTTCTACATATATATATTTTAATGTATCTAGATATACACTTATGTGTAGATACATAACGAAATCAAAGCATTTAAAAAAGTCAAAATATTTTATAATTTAGAACAGATGGGCTACATACTATAGATAGATAAAAAAAAGAGATTATCATGTCAAGGTCCTAAATTACACCACAATCCCCGACACTGAAATTTTCTTAACCCCTAGAGAGACCGGAGACAACGGGGAATTATTGAGAACACGTCATCGAAATTTGTTCAGATAGATGAAGCAGTGAAATATTCAGAACACGGCATCGATGGTATTGTCATCAGACTTGTAACATAACGATTTGTGAGGGATCATTTGGAGCCCCAGTTCTCCATTGTCCCCGTTGGCATCTTGGACACCCAATTTTTTTTATAATTTAGCTCTTTTTTAAAAAAAAATTACGCTTGGCTCTCTAGGAAAAGTAAACTTATCTTTGATCCTGAGGGTCGACGCCAGGACTCATGGTGTCGAGCTTAACACGTTTCGGCGCCACAGATCTTGGCTCCGAGGTGCCTGGCCGTGTACAGTAGGGCATCCTAAGTGGCGTTAACGCGATACCTCAACGCCAGAAAATATGGCGCCGAGTTCGGCGCCACATATCTTGACGCCGACGTCGAAAGCATGTAATCTGGCGAGGTGGCAGCGCATCACCGTTCGGATTCCGGCTGCGATGTGCCGGTGCTTAGCGTCCTCATAGGTCAGAGCCCATAGGCACGCTTGCGTGCAGGACCAAGCTGGAAAACGGCGCGGGGCACTGCAGCTGATATCGATGCGTCGACGCCAGAACACGACCGACTAGGATTGGCTGCAGGCGCCAAAAGAAAAAAGAAAAGAAACAAAAGAATTGCATGCATATGGTCCCAAACGATCTTGTCCTCGAGTTTTCAGGATTATATATAATAACATGAGCTCGGATATATAATCCGAGTTGCATATCCTATATATATATATATATATGATATATATATATATATATATATATATATATATATATATATATATATATATATATATATATATATATATATATATATATATATATATATATATATATATATATATATATATATATATATATATATATCTCCATGGCCATCTATCCTGAACTCGGCTTGCACGCCTATATAACGACACTGCTAAGTATTAATGCATGGATAGTATGTTGATGCATCCACAAATAGTACCACGCAGGTGCCATTGCATGGATATCGGCGGCGCTGCCAAGTAGGCCGTAGCTGCACTTGCAGTTGCATGTGTGCATGTTTGCGCTTGACGCGGCACAGCAGCATGGCTGCACCCATCACTATGGTTTCTCCAACTATGTGAGCTCGCATCCACACAGCAAATTATATTCAAGTCCCATAGCTGAATTTTTAATGGAGGATCAACATTTAACTTTCCAATTGTATTCCTCTGCGAACTTGTAATTTCTAGCAGATTTGTATGTTCAGTATTAACAGAATTTTTTTTTATACATTGACAATATTTATTTTATGTCTATGTATATATGACATGTGTTGATATTTTTCTGCTCTTTTAAATGCATTTGTTTATCACACATTATGAATATACCATGTAATTGCAAGAATAATTTTTTGAATAATTATATTCAAACATGGTATAAGGTATATGAGCTCTCTAAATCCTGTAGATTTTAGACTTATCACCTTTGAGAGGCTCATATTTAGTTTTTCTAGCATAATGAATTTTTGGGATGAATGAATAATTGGTATTAATTCTGAAATTTTGCATTTACCATGAATAGATCCTGAAAAATGCTACAATGCTGGGAGGTCTTCAAAAGCCAACCCTGGTTGGCTTTTATCATGCCCACATGGGTTTTGTTTGCTGGGGACCCTTTGGCTCATCATTCCCGGGACATACTACAGGACATGAGGCCATGAGGGCAGCGGCAGGCCATCAAGACCCACGCTACACATCATCGAAATTTTTATTTTTTTAGCTCTTTTTTAAGTTTTTCACAAATACGTCCTGGGAAAAGATTTCAGAATCTGGACCCTTAGCTGGCGCCGAGCTCTTGGGCTCGAGACCAACGTGGAGGTGACATGGCAGAGCTCGGCGCCGTAGATCTTGGCGTCGAGCTCGGTGCCGGGTAACTGGCGTCGAACCTTTATTACGTATGGACCCCAATCCTTTCTCTCTTCCTCTCCCCCCTCTCTCGCATCTCCCTTGCCCAAGCCGAGCAGAGCACCGCCACCGCCGCGCCCGGAGCCCGCCACCGGCCGCCCGAGCCCGCAGCACCTCGCCCTCGCCCTCGCCAGACGCCGAGCCCATGCATCGCCACCACCACCCAGCGCCTCCCACCACAACAGCACGCGCCACGCCCACGCGCCCAGCCGCGGCCACCGCCTCTACCCTACGCTAGTGTCGTCCTCAGCCTCCTCCGCCTGCAAGCCCACCTTTGCTAGAGCGATGAGCTCGCTCAGTCTGCTAGTGTCGTCCTCAGCCTCCTCTCTCTCATCAGACAACACAATCGGTGATTGAACGGTGCGACCAACTCGCAATCTGTGCTCATCTAAACTTCTTTTCCTCATATCTTGCATGAGCCACCTCTGCGGCATGTTCCTCGCTGCATCCAATCTCTTCATGTATAAAATGCAATCAGTTAGCAACGCGATTATATTACATTTAAAATTAGACAACGAAAAAAAGGCTTTCAAGCACTCACTGGCATATAATGCAACAACATGTTCGTTCAAGATCTGCATCTCTACTCTTGTCTCCTCCCTTGCCTCCTTTCTTGCCCTTTCCTTCTCTAACATCATCCGTCTCTCCAATCCACATTTGTCAAGCCCAACATCGATCGGGTTACAAATATCACGTTGTCTAGAAAACTCACGCATCTTTTCTTTATGATATTTAACGAATAGGTTGTCGTAGTAAGGTCCATATTCCCTCTTATGTGCAATTACTAGCCTCCCCTTCAGTTTATCCAAGAACTTAGCTTGACCATCATAATATTCCCATCTACATTTCCTAGTGCTTTGTTCAAACGAAAAATTATATCATATATGTCTTAGCAAAAGAAACAAAATACGATTTCATGTTTACCACAAAAATAACCAACCTCATCATAGTCAATCATATAGCCGCAATAATGACCTATTCCAAGCTCCGAAAGGACTATGCCATAGTTGGATTTAACACCACATTCGCACATGACAGGAGGTGCTTTGTAAATTACCCTTTCTTTCTTCTTTTCCTTAACCTTTCACGGTTCTTTCGGCCATTGGTTCTTAGGACCATACAATCACTCCTTGAAATGACACTTCGCCATTGAAAACACCTAAATGAGGTGACATTAGTACATGAACACATATAGCTCAAGATTTCAACACATACACTTTGTACTTACTTCATGCTTGTTTGGACACATAAACTCCAACGTATTCTCAGGGTTTATCACAGCTCGATCTCCGCAATCGCATAGAGGAGGTTCCTCGAGTCATCTAACTATGGCTAGGTGCTTCTCCTTAGCCGTCATTGGCGGAGGGTTAGGGGGGGTGGAACCCACCGCTTGAAGTGCTCACGCGGATGTCTCCCTCTAAACTAATCATCGAAAAGGAGGTACCTAGGATCAAACTTGTCTGCACCGTCGATCCACTGAAAGAAAAAGCACCTCTCATGGTCCTACACAACGAGATTCCAACAAAATATTAGTAGCATACTTACACAAATAAAAAAAAAGATAGTGAAAATAATTTCTTACATTAAAACGACTGCATGTGTAGAAGCACCGTGTCGCTGTGTCTGGATGTTTCGATTGAAAAACATGGGTCAGGAAACCACAGTCACAGTTAGGGACGGGGAGGTTAGGAGGGACGGGGTCATCTTTGCTAGACGCGTCGGGGTATAATTCTCAAGGACGACCCCGTTTTTGCCAAAACTCCTCCTGATACATTTCTTGCATCTAACAAAACGGATGTAATTTAACAAACAAAAATCAAAACAACACAAATAAATGTCAATGAGAAACCTAGGTTTGCTAGCTTTTTCATGCCTTGGCATCATCTTACGGTTGTATAATACAAATATTGAGGGATAGAATAAAACCCTAAGTAATGACGATTCTTAGGTTGAAAAATCCGACTAATATATACCAAATCGATGTGAAAAAAACTAGGAGGGGAGTGAGGATACCTTGCTCGCAAAGATCTACGGATCAAATCAAAGTTTTCAATGTCCAATATGTCGATTCGTGAGGTAGGGTGAAGTGGGGAGAGA